CAGAATATTGGGAATATTCGAATAACCTATGCTTGCATCCTTAACTTTTTCCACAAAGTTTCAATTCGTCTATCTACACAAGCTCATTCAGCTCAAAGCTATTGGATGTTCTTTCGTAATTGATGAATAGGAGGCAGAAAAGGAGCTGGTGCTCTCATGCGCCTTTCAACAGATTTATGGCAAAAACGTGGTATACGTGCTGTAATTACTTCTAAATCCAGCTTATTCCACGGCCGCTACTCATAGAGAAGCCTTGCTAACTGGCTACTGATAATCTTAAGAATAAGCTTATAAACGAGAGAGTAGAAAAATCGACACAGCCGTTCTTCAGATTTTTAAAATAATGTTGGAATATAAATACTAAAATATTTTTTACAAACATTCGTCTGTCGCAAAAGAAAATGGAAGAGCAAAAGTATTAGGTGACGGTTCTAAACTTCATAAACGCACAACATATTGTTAATAGGGCTTTAAAAACAATACGTCCGCTGCCAACCTGTTCCCTTTTTATGGGGTTTTTTCAGCTATGCAATGCAGAAAACGCTTATTGACGAGGGGATGTCTGTGTATATGTGTGTGTCTGTGTGTTCGTCTGCACCGATTTTTCATCTCGAGACCTACGAAAGCTACGGGGTTGAAACTTTGGAAACTTAATCTACATGCATGTATGGGCACCCACTTCAAAATGAGCTGTCTTATTCGCGTGGTACCCACATACGGGCCCGTGAAAGTTTTTTGCGGATAAGTCGCTAACTCGCGAACCACAAAAGCTAGAAATCTGAAATTTTAAGGAGATGTTCCCCGTCCAGGTAAGTATAAATGCGCTCAAATCCAGCCGTCGAGTATGCGTGGTACCCATGTACGGGCCCACCAAATTTTCACCGGGTAAGTCGCTAACTCGAGAATTTGAAAAGCCAGAAGACTGTCATTTTGAGAGCATATTTCCCGTCCACGTAAGTCTCAATAAACTCAAACCCATCCTTCGGGTATGCGTAGCACCCACATACGGGCCCGCCAAAGTTTTTTTCGGGTAAGTTTAAAACTCGGGAACCTGAGAAGCAAGAAGACGGAATTTTGAGGGTGTGTTTCCTGACAGTCTTTGTGGCCAGTCTGAAATTCTTTTAGCTAGAAGCATCTGCCGGAAAAAACAGTGCCGCTAGCGGCAAAAATCTGCGGAGAACTATGCAAAAACGCATCTTCGCACGGGCAGCCCGAGCGTTGGCCAATTTTTTCCATTCACTATATACGATCACATATGACAGTAATTTTCTTGCCAAAACCTTCACAGGGCCGCACGTGGTGTCTAGTGGTGCGTGAAGGCTGAATCCAAATTTGCGGAGATCGTACGTAGATAGAGAACATCACCCTAAAACTTCAGATTCCCAACTCTCGTGGTTCCCGAGATAATAATTTCCCCGCCGGAACCTTCACGGGACCGTAAGTAATACCCGGGTGTGCTCTGGAAGGCTGGATTTAAACTCATGGGGTTGAATGTGGGCAGAGGACACTGCCGTAAAATTTCAGATTCTTGGTTTTTATGGTTCCCAAGATAATAATTTTTCCTTCAAAATTTTCATGGGGCCGTAGGTGATACTCGACGTCTCGGGAATGCTGAATATGAGAGATCGTACATGCCAGGGGGTCATTGTCCAAAAATTTCAGTTTCCTAGACCCCATAGTTCTCGTGGTAAAAAATTCTACCCGTCAAAACTTTTATGGGGCTGTACATGTTATCCACAAGCAGGGAAAGGCTGGATTTAAATTTTCTGGGTCGCACTTGGGCAAGAGATGTGCCGACAAAATTTCAGCCTTCTAGCTACCGAGGTTCTAGTGATAATAATTTTATCAGCCAAAACTTTTACGGGGACGCACGTGTTACCCGCGGGCAAAGGGAGGCTGAATTCAAATTTGCGGGGTCACACATGGGCGGGGAACATGACTCTTAGTTTTCAGCTCCCCAGTACAAACAAAAAATATAAACAACAAAAAATATAAACAAAAATATAACCTCGTGATAATATGCATTTTGTGCAGCTGTTGCATAGCACAAAAACAAAATTTCAGCTTATGCTACTCACATCATCATCGTCGTCAAGAATACTCAAACTCGCAAGCAATTCGTTTTCTCTGAGACCATGATTCACTGCGAACTGCTGCTTTGCACGCATCGATGATCAGTCCTTCAAAAATAACTATACTTCCATCAAGTTTTGACAAACAAACCACTTACGTTGCATAAAAACAAAAGTGAAATTTGCGGCGAAATACATGCATGGCGACCTTAAAAAAACCAAATTCTAAGAACTACTTTCTGTCTGGGACCGTCCCAGTGAAGAAATAATAGGAGATCTAAAATCACAAGTAACAGAGAAAATATTGCACTTCTCGCATTTTCTGGAAAAAAAATACAAATCCTGGAAAGGAGCGCACATGATTACTGACCGGTCGTTCATCAAAAAATGCAGATTTGACAATGAACGAGATCCCAGCAGAAAAAGATCACGAAATTCGCGAAATGCACTCGATTTTGAGGTTGCGATAAGACTGAGTACTTCTTACTCACTAATGTGCGACGTCCACTCGTTGTCACACATAATCAGCTCTCCAGCATATGACCGACGTGAGAATGTCACCGCGATCATACGAAAATTTCAGTTTTAACGTGCAGAATCTGCTGGTTGCCTTACTGATAGTCGGCAAGTAGCATGTATCATTGGTGGTACTTTTGAGAAATAACCATTAAGCCACCCTCCGACGAGGTGTCATACGCCAGATACCGTTGCGTTTGGCGTGCACGTGTCCTAGTGGCATTGATAACATCCTCCCTCGTTCCCAGCTGAATGCCCGGTACTAGAACGGATTTGCCATCGCTCAAATTATGCAGATTAGCAAAACAGTAGTAGAGATATAAATGTTGCTGAGATGCGAAAATACTTCATTGCTTATTTCTTATTTATCAAGAAAAGGCTGGAGTCGGCTAGAAATGTCGAAAAAGGATGATGAAGAGGTGCAGGAGCCGATCTGTTTCAGTCAGAGAACATTTAAGGAATGATGTAGTATAACCCTGTTTTGGCGCCTCTCTTATCAGCGAAACTTTTGTAGTTTCAGTATTCGCCGTTACAGTCCGATCGGTACCCCCGATTGTCGTTTCAGCTCCTTTCCATTGACTTTGCGCGCCAAGCACATTGTTGAAGGGCATGTTTGGTTTAAGAATCTTTGTTTTTGGAGCGAAATGTCGAGCTGACATTTGTGAGGAGATTTTTCCGTAGGGCCGTTTGGGTATCGAAAGAAAGTATCTTTGAATCCAGTAAGATCGCTGCTTTTTAAGGAAGCGAAGGACATTTCTTCCACATTCTCCCATATCCTTTGTCGCAAATTGTCCAGAATGACCACATGAGTGATAATTTCGTCAGACTTACATCATCAGACTGATCTTACATAACACACTGGATTATGTAGTAGTCATTAAAATCTGAACAAAGTTCAACATCAACTTTCATCAAGGATACCGAAGTACAGTTAAAATAGATAATCGCAACTGCGGCAAAGGAATTGCTTGGCTCGGACTAAAGGAGTGTAGCAAAGAAGAAACTCAATGCTTGGCAGTGAGAACCAACATTTCTAGTCCCCTCCTGCACTGATTTCAGTGTACTCCGAACGGGAACATCGCCTCACCAGTCACAGCATTTGTATTTTAGCAAGCCGACGATTCCGTATCAATAACCGATGACGTTAAAGGCGCCGAATATTACCACGGCTTGATACCACGCACGGATATCGAACCATTGCTCAAAAAAGAAGGAGACTTCTTACTCCGCAAAACTGAGCTTACTCCTGGTAATCACTGCTTCTGCTAGAATTTATGCCTAAATGCGGGGGGAAAGTATTTCTTCCAGATAAAAAATAATTTCGGTGCTGCTCCAATCGGATAGACTTCACCTTACAATCACTTTTAATTTAACAATTTATATTAAAAATGTGGGCAGGAAAGACGAAAACAGCGCTAGCCGTGACGGGGAAATAACGGAGCAAATCTCTTCATGACCATATCAGTAATCAGACTTCCCATTAGATGCGCGGCGTGCAGGACATCATTACGCCCACACGAGAAAGTGAAATCCGATAGGCGGGTATGTTGCCCGCTCTGCCAATGACTAGTGGACGTTGCGCGTTAGTTAGTGGTACACATGAATGTGGAGATATGCAATCCAGGATCCAAAGCCCGGCGTATGGAAGTGTCACAGCAACACCAATAATAACATGGAATCCCTGAAGAGTGCTCGGGCTGTCTTAACACCCTTTGTATAATAAAAGCTATTTTTTTAAACAGTTTCAAAAATTCAGTGTGTTGTTATGTGTTTTGCATATATGCAGATTGCAAAAACGCATATTGGGAAGCGGCTGTGTGTATGTGTGTGTGTGTGTGTGTGTGTGTGTGTGTGATGTGTGTGTATCTGTGTGTTCGCGCTTTTTGTCACCCACTTTCAACTCCAGAACCAGAAAAGCTAGAAGGCTGAAAGTTTGGAAGTATGTACCCATATCATGCGTGATCTTGCCTTTTTAATATCATTCCCCGCGGACGCCTCGGTGCCGTGTACGGAAGTTTTAAAGAAATTTGCAAATTTTTTGGCGGGAAAGCGATCTCAGGAGCCAGACAAGGTAAGGAGCTGAAACTTTATAGGGATATTCAATGTGTGAACTAAAAATTCCAAATTCAGCTTCTGGGCGTGCGTGGTACTCACGTAGGGCGTGTGAAAGTTTTGGCCGGAAATTAATAACTCGGCAACCAGAAAAGCTAAAAAGCTGAAATTTTTGGGGAATATTCCCTGTCCAAATACAACTAAAATATTTCAGCCCCCAGGTACGCGTGGTTCTCACGTACGAGCACATGGAAAAATGTCAGCTCGGTAACTAGAAAGGCTGAAAGGCTAAAATTTCAGGGGGATGTTCCTTGTCCACGTGCAATTTAAATATTTCAAATTCAGCATCCCAGGTAAGTGGGTACCCACTTGCGGGACCTGTGAAAGTTTTAGCTGGAAAATTACTAAATCGGGTACCCAAAATGTTTCCTGAAATTTCAGGGGAATGTTTTCTTCCAAATACAACTTAAATAATTTAAATTCAGCCTTCTGGCATGCGTGGTTTCCACGTATGGCCATTTAAAAGTTTTGGCGGGAAAACTGCTCACTGAACAGCTAGGTTACTTCCAAAGAGCGACCATCAAATGGAAATTGTTCATTTATTTTATACAAAATGTATAGTGTCTTATGACGATGTAAAGCAACAACAATTTATGCAGTTAATGACTTTGGTACTTCAAGTCTGGTGCAAAAACGCATGATTGCACCGGAAAGCCCGG